CTTCAGCTATGGAACATTCTCAAGGACATAGCCTATTGTCACCACAGAAAGCGACAGTTTGTGCTGCCACCTTGGAATGTTTGCTTCTGCCAGTTTCACCTAGCATACGAGTATAATGTACTTCACTTCTGGCGAAAATACACACTACAGAGCTTAAGAATTAATTTCAAATGAGGCCAATATCTATAAATACATAGAGAGGTACTATTATATATACATCTAAGAGCATATGTATTATATATTATTATGTATTATATGTATTATATATACATCTAAGAGCATAATTTGACGATTGTTTAATCCTGAAGTTTCTTCTCAAGAATAAAAGAATGAAAACTTGTCATTTACTTTATGTATCTTTTATATTATCATAAAGTGTAAACATTGAAAATCAAAGAAAGGTTTACCCCTTTTTTCATTTATTTTTTTAAATGGTGAAGAAAAAAGCCCTTGATATTCAGCAACCAAGTTTTATTTTCAACCTGAATCAGAAACTATCAAAGACAATTTTTCATCATATAAGTGTCTTGGCCACAGATGATAAAACTGCACAAACCTAAAAGCCTAAATAACCACGTAAATGGGTTGTATGGTTCTTGAGACAGATGGTGGAGCACAACACTAATGGGTTATGAATTCCAAGAAAAATGTCCTCCGGGTTATAACAAAAGTGACTGAAGAAGCAGGAATATAAAGTGGAACCAAAACAGAAAAATCACATAAATTTTTAAAAGGTCAAGAAGACAGAAACAGAGAACATATAGATTCCATTAGAATCACTCTAAAAAGACAATCACTTAAACATTATGCTTCTGTTAACAGAAGGAGAAATGTGTTTCAACAAAATAAGTAACATCAACTGCTTCATTCCATGTCAAGTACAAGATTGTAGAAAACTTGTCTGTCAACCACTCTATCAACTACTGCTGGCCGAGACACATGCCCACCAACCAAAGGCATTGTAAGGAACTCTGAAATCTCCTTATCTAGTTTTAAGCTGTATAACCTGTGAATTAGAAACCACTGTCAAAGAGAAGTTCTCATGTATAAGGTCTTGTAGTTCCACTAGGACTCGAAAGAACCAAAATTAAAGCACAGACTATCTTATTTAAATGAGAATCAACAGTCACAGTTTGTCAGAAGTCAGTAATAAAATGAACTCCAGGAAGGCATGAACAAATACAATGTAGGAAAATATTCAGGACTGCCAACTTCAATACTGACTCTGTCTCGGGCCATTTACAAAATAATACAACTAAATGGCTTGAAAAGCGTATTAAGGAGCATAGAGTAGTTATAAAGTGCTCTTCCCCTTCCTCTGTACTCCAGCTCTGCTAGCCTCCTCTCAGGATGTATCATGCCCCTACCTTACTCAGTTTTGTCATCTCTTTTCTCTTTGCCTAACCCGCTTTCCCTTTAACCGGTTAACCCCTATACAGACTTAAGTCTATTTTACGTGTATTTTCCTTTCTACAGCTTCACAGAAACTTGCAGATTTCCTTCCTTTCCTAGTTGTGGCTAGCTGTAATATCTAGGTCTTAGGTAAATAGTAAACTTCAAGAAAAGAGGAATCCTATTATTTTTGGTTTTCTTCTTTCCACAGTGGTGTTCCCAGTGCCAATACCTAGCCAGAGGAATAGCTCAATCAATATTTGTTGAAAGACTAAATGAAGGATTCTCTTAGGGATTAGGGTGTTATTCTGACACTTTATAAAATCCCTCCCCTGCACAATGACTTGATGCCCAAAAGGGAGATCTTCTTTTGATATGAGGCATGACTGAAAAATAGTGTTTACATTTTTGAAGTGTAAAAGACACAGTGCAACTAATCCTCTTCACAATATTCCACCCTTGCTTCGAACACACTTATCCTACTGTTCTTGCCACTTTCTGAAGCAGTTCTGGAAGTTCTCTTTTGTGTCTTTAGTTGCACTGTTGTGGCTCCCTGGATACCTTGAATTAATTCAAAACATTTATCTTTTACAATCATTTTGACTTTGAGGAAGAGCCAGAAGCTGCATGGTAGCAGATCTGATAAACAAGGTGACTGAGGACTCTTAGATATTTTTCTCATTGCTGAAAGTACCTACACCTAAAGTTAAAAGGGAAAAGGTTCATTTAGCTCACAGTTTGTAGAGGATTCCATAACTGGCTGGCTGCAAGGCAGGGTAGCTTGGCAGAGAACAGTTCATGGCACCCACACAGCAGCAAAAGCAACAAAGACGGTGATAAGACTCTTTCTGTCCCTCACATTGAATGCAGGTTACCTGCCCTAGGGTGGTGTAACACTCACACCCTTAATCCTAGCATCACACTCTAAATTTAGCCATCTCTGTAAAAGCCCTATGACTGCATGAGGCTTTCAGGGGACATCTAGACACAAACCATAATAAGGATACACCATAATATTTTTATGAGCCTGCCTTTCTATTGGATGGCATTTGGCAACCACAATCACCATATTTTTGATCACACCTTTTGAAGTTGCTAATGAAAGAGACCTTCCAAAACTGCTTCAGAAAATGACAAAAATGATGGAATAAATGTGTTTCAAGCAAAAAAGAGTAATGCGAGGGGGATTTATGGCAATGTCTTTTATTGTAATTTTTTGAACACCAGTTTTTAATTATCCCTTGTACATTACTAATTGGATGTATTTACCTTCTGAAAGCAGTTGCACATACTCAAGGCTTTTCCTGAGATTTTGATGATCAGAAAAATAACCAGAAGAAAATCTCAGACTGGAATTTAGTTGAATCAAGGAGTTAGATGATGCCTCTCTTGCCTATTGAGGCCGAAGAGGAAAGTGACCCTTTAACATTTAGTCATGTACAGTGAAAGCCTTGTGGGCCATGACAAGGCAGAATCTCCCAATCAAGTGGCAAATGCCAGGAGCTGTTCATGACCCTGGAGTGATTTCATGGAGGCCTGGAACAGGATATAATTTGCTTTACAAATAAGGTGTGTTGATTATTCTAATCTAATGTAATATGGTCATACTACCACACTCTTGAGAGAAGGCCTTATTCTTTGGAGTAGGATGGGAAAGCCATCAAGGTACAGCTACAGCAGAATGACTCCTTACACCTATAGATCTAAGGGAAATCGAGGTGTATTGCTGATTAGCTGTGTGTTACACATTGTGAAAGACTAAGCTACTAAGCGCTAGCTCCTCATAAGCAGACCCTATCAGGAATAGTCTTGCTCAAAAGTGCAGAGTATACTATTAACATATAAGCATGACACCAGTAAGTTTGAGAAATACTGAATCTATACCCTTCTTCTTGGAAAGTCAAAAGGTGTGTAACACCTGATTATTTTGACAGGTCCTGCAATAAAAGTTCTTCAACTCATTTGACCATGAAAACTTACTTTTCAGGAAAGATGTATGCATCATGTAGGATAATCTTTCTAAGGACGTCATTTCGCACAACCTCTAAACCTCAGTGGCTTCGAATAACAAGGTCTATTTCTCTTTCATGTTGTATATCTACTGTTGTTTGACTGGAGAGCCTGTGCCACACTGGGAGCCAAGGTGTCAGAGCAGCTGCCATCTGAGCATTTAGGTTGCTCTTTCAGGGAAAAGGTGAGCCTTCTCACCTTAGTCACACATAACTTTGGAATTTGGGGTCATAACTCATTGGCCAGAACTAGCCACATGCCTCTTCCCAATACTAAGGGGCTAATGAAGTACTATCCTAAACCGCACCTGGAAGGCAGACAGCCAGAAATACTATATGAGTGCCACTAAGAACAAACTGGCCCTGCTAACCCAACTGAACACTAATGTTCGTGGAAGTACAGTTAGGTCCTACTGTTGTTCATGATCTTAAAAACAGGGAGAGTTACTATTCAAGAATTTTTAGCATCTGTTACTAAAGTTACATGACCATGCTCAGGAAGAAGAATTGGAAGGCTGTTTTATAAAAACATTTATTGGGGGATGTGTTTTGGAAGATTTTATGAAAACAATTTCTTTTCACTTATAGTCTCCAGTAGATTTCCCACAACAGGTAAGAAAATGATTTTCCAGCCAGTTCCTCATTGCTTCTCTCAAATACAAATGTTATATAACAGCAAACATGGATAATTTTGTAACACCACTTATTTCTAGACTGCTAGAGAGAGGTATGTTATATCATAAATGCCCAGTTACAGTATCTTCTGCATAGGTGTACAGAGAATTAATGATATTATCAGATAAATCTCATAGTAATAGCAATAAAAGACTCATATAAACATAAAAAAAAGCAATGTATTTTGCGCGACCGTCATAACCTCTGAAAATTAATTCTGATGAAGTCTACTGAATCAAATTACCTGTCTTGGCATCTTGTTTGATAGTTGGTCATAAGTGTATCACATAAGAACACAAAAAAAGACAATGCTCAGAAATGAGTACAGATGTCATCACCTACATACTAAGCACAATAAAGGCGCTTATCAACAGTCATTCAAGAGTCTTTAATTCACTGTTTCTGTGAGAAACACATGTTAAATTCATGTCATTTCCTCAGCCACCTCCAAGTTCATCTTCAGCTCTACCTTATGTATTTCCTTTATACAACATAATTAAATAACCTAATACATATAAAATGATTTCTGGCAGTGCTTAGGACATAGTAGTAACTAAGTTTTGATTATTGTTACTATTTCGTGTCTTACAAATGACGCTTTGTGTGTCCCGTGCCTGCAGAAGGTCTAACGTGTGATTTGCTTTAACAAGTTTGATCCAGTGCTCCTGGGAGGGAGAAAGTCTAATGCCAAGGGACCTTTTACATTACATTTTCCTTATTTAAAATAAAAAAGGCAAATGACCTAAGAAGTGATCAAAAATTTGTCTACCTTTAGATAAATGCCTCCAGGCTATTGCCTTGAGTGGTAAATGTTGAGAACAAATTAAAAGTAATTTTTGATAACTGCCCCAAAGTACACTGATTGAAACAACCTTCCCTTCACACTGCATATCTTCAGGCTGTGGCAAATTCATTGCAACATTATTAAAGAATTTCAGTAAATATTTTATTTTTATAATAATGAATCTGATAGCTCTAATATCCTTTGGTTCAGTTTACATCACCCATAGGTTCTTCAGGCCATTCACTTAATACATTATCTTCCTTAATGGGTACTTCTGCTGGTTGCTGGTCAAGAGAAACTGAATCTTTGTATTTCATAGAACTTATCTCAGAGTGTATCTCAGCTGCAGAGGTCCTCTCCCCCCAGAAAGCTTTCACTGCCACCCTGGGGAAAAAAACAATATCAAAACCATAAAGATGAAATAAAAATAAAAACTAATGAGATTCAGATTTACATTATATATATATATTTTTTTGCCTTTTAACCACATTTCAATCTTAGTTTGTGATGTATCTATTTCACTGTGTTAGTAAATGAGTCCCCAGACTTACTAAGGTGTTGTTCTCATACATTCTATTTTTGTAGAAACCAATTGGTATGTTTCAATAGTCAAATTTTATCATTGTGAGAACTACAAGTGGACAATACAAATATCTATTTAATAAACTATTTTTTATTTTAGCAATGAGTTTGTAACATTGTTAAAATTGCACTTAAAAGCTCTCAAAAGCCATGGCATTATTTTTAAAAACATGCACTAGATGTGGTGGTACACACTTATAATCCCAGCACTCTGGGAGACTGAACAGGAGAATTACAAACTCAAGCCCAGTCTAGGCAATTTAGTGATTTAGCCACCCTATCTCAAAAAAAGTTAAATTAAATTAAAAAGAGGGCTGAAGATGTGGTTTAGTGTGAAGGCCCAGGGTTCAATCTCTAGTACCATCTTAGACAGACAACAAAGACAGGAAGGAAGGAAGGAAGGAAGGAAGGAAGGAAGGAAGGAAGGAAGGAAGGAAGAAAAAGGGAGGAAAAGAGGGAGGGAGGGAGGGAGGAAGGAAGGAAGAAAGGAAGGAAGGAAGGAAGGAAGGAAGGAAGGAAGGGAGGGAGGGAGGGAGGGAGGGAGGGAGGAAGGAAGGAAGGAAGGGAAAGAAAGGGAAAGAAGAGAAAAAGAAAAGATGGGGTAGCCCAAACTAGGAAGTCTCAGGAGCAATGAAGGGAGTTGGACAGTTCCAAGACACATTTAGAAGACATTAGAGACAGCGTTTTGCAAATTCACTGTATAAGGGAAGGAACGAGAAAGAGGAAGTCAAAAGTGACAATGCAGACTAGCCATTCACCTACCAATTTATAATTATGAAGATCAATATGAAGATTATGAATATACAGATAATGACTCCTGTGGTCAGCACAAATACTAGGGCTATATCAGTGTCTGATCGGCTTGATCTCATCTGTATTTCTAAAGAAAAGACACACATAATTATTTCTACTAAAAACAAAGAAATAAGTACCTTAGTGGAAAATTTACATTTGAAAAAACTAGAAAAATACAAAAACAGAAGAAAGAAAATTCTTAGTGAAATGTCTCTGCATTTTTAAAATCTTTTTAAACATGCAAAAAAGCTGAAAGAACTTTACAGGGAACATCTGTATCACTACCACCTATTCGGTCCATTAATATAGTACTCTGCAATTCCTCTATCCATCCTGTACTCTATAAATTCATCAATTCACCTAGTTTTTCATGAATTCTAATACCATTGGCAAACATCTGCACAGTTCCCCCAAAGTCATCAGCAGGTATATTATTAATTGGAGTACAACACTGGTTTACATTTTTTTCTTGGCACAACTTACAATGAATTACACAAAGATCTTAGATGCATATTTGCTTAGTTTTGGTAAATGTAAACATACATATGTAATCCAATGCTGATCAAGACAGAATATGATTAAACCCTAGAAAGTTGTCTTGAGCCTTTCCCAGTTAATCCCTGCCTCAGCCTCCAAATGCAACTACTGTCACAACTTTCTTTCCAAGCATAGATTAGTTTTTCCTGCTTTACAATTTCATATAATAGAAATATATATGATGTGCTTTTCTGCATTAAAGCCTTTTTCCTTTCTGAGCATGATTTCAAGATTTACCACACTGTTAGATATAATCATGGTTTTTCCTTTTTGTCCTGAGTAGTATATTGCAGTTTATTCTCTAACCGATGGAAACTTAGGTTGTTCTAGATGTGGGGTATTACACACAAAGCCCTGTGAACATTGTTTCTCAAGTCATCCTGTGAACATCTACTTTCAGTTCTCTTGGATAAACATTTAGGAATGGAAATGCCATAGGAACAAGGTATGCTTAGTTCTCTACAAAACTGTGAGAAGGTCGTGGGTCAATCCCCAGTACTGGAAAAACAAACAAATAAACAAACAACCAGAAACATCCAAACCACAGCATTTCCCATTGAAATTTTCTAAAGATAAATAGGCTGAATTTCAATACTCTCATTTTTCTGATAAACAAAGCTTGTGAATGTATTGGCTTCTTATGGTCATATAACAAAGTACCACAGGGGCTGGGGATTTAGCTCAGCGGCAAAAGCGCCTGCCTGGCAAGCGCAAGGTCGTGAGTTCGGTTCCCGGTACCGGAGAAAAACCAAAAAAAAAAACAAAAAAAAAAAACAAAGTACCACAAACTGGATGACTTAAAACAACATAAATTGTTTTATAGTTCTAGAGAACAGAAGCCAGAAAAAGTTGTGTTGGTAAAGCCAGGATTGCTCTGAAGCCTCTAGCAGAGGATCCTGAACTAAAACAGCAGAACTATCCCACCAGCCCTGGACTGCAACAATATAAGGAAATCAGCTTTGTCTTGAGAAAGGAAAGGAATTTTGAGGTCTGTGTTCCAGGCTTTAACTTACACACTAGCAAGTACATGTTCCTTTCTAGTCATGAAACAAACTAACTACTGAATAGTCCTACCAGGCACCAGTCACTGGGGACAAAGTTCAAGAATGACCCAGATACCTTGATATCATAGACTAGGGCTAATTAAGATTTTTACTTTGATCTTTTGGTCTTTTTTCTGTCTTTTAAAAGTATTTAAACAAAACTGTCCTTTAGGTGACACCTGATATCATAACAGAAGAGTGGTTATTAGCTTTTATCATAAAACTTTTTCTTAAGGTAATTACTAGCATATTAAAGCAAGTTTAAGTAAACAGTTTATTTTTTAAAAATCACCCCAAAACACCTGACTCCATTTTCATTTCAACAAAGAGTATATGTTGTATGATATCTCCAGACTACAACAGAAGCTTTTTACTTCAAGTTCAGAAATAGTGTCAAGAGCTACCTAAATTCCCTTAAAGTTACATATAAGTTTTGACATGCTTGTATATAGGGACTTTTTTTTCTGGGAAAAGGCTTTGGAGCTTTGATTGGGCTCCTTAAAAAACCTGTGACCAAATCCCTCACAACAAAGACGAAAACATAAATGGTTAAGAGTAACTGAAAAAAATAAAATGGGGCCGGGGATATAGCTCAGTGGCACAAGTGTCTGTCTGGGAAACGCAAGGTCCTGAGTTCAATTTCTCATACCAAAAAAAAATAATAATAATAACTATTTGGATACAGAGGCTGGCATGGATTAAATTAAAAGGAGCTGCAGATAGATCCATCACACAAAGGAAACACAATTTCTAATACATACAATTATGTTCAGGACAAGATTTGCCTTTTGTGACATACATGAAAAACTGTATTCTTGCATCATCAAAAACTTTTTTTGTCAAATAAATAGGTTTTAGAGAGAAATGTTCTTTTATGAATCTTGATTTTATTTATTTTTCTATACATGCATTTTTGTAAGTATTCAAGAGAAATCCATTTACTCATTTTCACTTTTTTGATGAAAGTAAACACAAAAATATGTTTCAAGTTAAAGAGCTAGTCTTTAAAGGATCAGCTATATCTGATTTTACTTTATAAAAAGGAAGTACTGATAAGAGAAGTCACAGTGATATAAACCAGTGGTTCTCAAAGTGTGTTCCCTGAAGCAGTAGCAGCAGACTCATTTGGGAACTTGTTAGAGATGCAGCCTCCTGTGCCAGCTCTACCCCAGGTCTACTGAACTTGATCTCTACAGGTGGAGCTGGGTGGATGGCTGTGCTTTAATAAGTCCTCCAGGTGACTTTAATGCTCTTTAACATTTGAGAAGTAAGCAAACCAAACATTGCTGGGTACTTACCACTCATTGTATAGACTGTGAATCTAACAGATGCTATCACTTCATTGCTGTCCAGTGTATCACACTCAAAAGCCCGGGGGTGACTGTCTCTTTTTACTTCCAGGATTGCTGAATCATTTCCAAGTATAATAGGTTGCTATTTAAAAAGAAATAAGAAAACTAGTAATCAGATCAGGAAACAATGTATTTCCTTTAACAAAAGAAAAATCAGCTGAGCATAGTGGAGCACACCTATAATCCCAGCACTTCGTAGGCTGAGGCAAGATGATCCTCACAAGTTTGAGATCAGCCTAGGCTACATAGTGAGTTCAAGGCCAGCCTAAACTATGCAGAGACACCCTGTCTCAAAAAAATGAAGAAAGAAGAAAGGAGGAAGAAGAAGAAGAAGAAAGAAGAAGAAGAAAGAAGAAGAAGAAGAAGAAGAAGAAGAAGAAGAAGAAGAAGA